GGAGGTGAGGGGGGGGGCAGGGGGGAGAGGATTGGAGGCAATTAGCCAAAAACCATCTGCTAATCACTGTTTTTTCAGAGATTTTTATTTGAGAAGATCACAAGGCAGAGGGAAGCTGATGCATGCAGAGTCCTTCAGAGATTTTTTTTATCGTGCTTGCCAATAACACTTGAGGACACTCAGGCTTTTCTTTGTAACCGTCCATCCAAAGCCTTTCGCCAAAAACCACACTGAGGGTCCATTCAGAGCTGCTTTTGAATGGAACCCTTTTTAATAAAACACAACAGCTGTACAACAAATTAAGCTAAATATATATACAGTACAGTATATAAACTAGGCTTGATGTCTTAGTTTCATTAAACATATTTAAGCTAAATAATATACATTAACGAAAACAACAAACTTAATTAAATTAAAATGTATATTGTTTTCAGGTGATTGAGCTGAACAGCCTTGGGCGTCTCCTCTCCTTCGACCCGCAGACAGGAAGTGTGACGGTTCTGCTGGGCGATCTCTACATGCCCAACGGCATCGCTCTGTCACCTGACGAGCACTTCCTGTTGCTAGCGGAGACGAGCATCGGACGCATACTGAGGTACACACTATGAAGTGATGACCTGTTTCTCTAGGCTGACCCTGAAGATTGGATTTCGGGAATATTGCTGAAAAATAAAATCAAATAAACGTGTATGATTCACGTTTCTGCAGATAACCTCCACATTGTATTAGATTTTGAAACCCTAAAGAGGCCCTAAGATGCTTTTGGGGGTTTACACTTTCCTGTATTGTGTTCTATAGGTTTTAGTGCATGCAAAGTTCCCTCCAGAGGGAGTTTCTCTCCCACACACTCCCCCCGCTTCTTGAAACACCTCCATTGGACTCCTTTGTTTACTTCCATAACATAGTGTCATCACTATGTAACACTCACGCTTTTACTGGCTATTGTACATTGTAAGTGATAGGCTAATCACAACCCAATCAAAACGGTGAAAATAGGTGCTGCAGCACAAGCAGTATGAGAAAAATAAAGTCCCTTTTGAACATTCAAATATGTAAACATGTCACAGTAGAGGCACAACATACACATATTACACCTGAAATAAGGCCCCTTTAATATAAACACCAGAAATACAAATCTATTAGCTAACTCTTAACTCAGCTAATATGAACCAGCAACCTAACTTGAAACTCTGACCAGAAACACATTTAAATAACCTTTTTTACTTCGAGGCGAGGGAACAACATCACACTCTTCCTCTCTTCCCGCTCAGGTTTTGGCTGAAGGGCCCAAAGGCCGGCACCAAGGAGGTCGTCATGGACAACATGATCGGTTACCCTGACAACATCCGCCGTAGCGACCACGGCACATTCCTTGTTGGCATAACGACACCGAGGTTTCGGAAGATCACCCCTCCCTTCCTGGACATGATCGCCCCGTACCCCGCCGTCAAAAGATTCCTGGCAAAAGTCAGTGTGTTTCATAGTTTATATGAATTACTTTGTTAAATAATATATATGTGGGACTTTATCAAAATGATCTCTGGAGAAATGGAGAGGTTGTTATGAGAGGAAAGAGTGTTTTTTTTAGAACTGTATTTATTGTGTTCTAGTAATATCACACAGAACACACAAAACACACTTCATACTTTTAACTGTCAACCAGTATATTTATTACACTTTATACTTATGATTTGTTTAACTACATTTTGAGTGCTGTTTTTATAACCAAATCTACTTTCCCATGATCCATCTGGAAGGCTGTGTGATTCACAATTATCTAGTGTGTCAGTCAGCCGAGAATAACAGGCTTTGTTCCAGCCTGAGAAGAGATGGTGTGAAATGTGACGGGACAGGGGCAGGACCCTTTACACACGCACACAGATTGAATTGTTAGATGAACACAAGAGGTTTAAGATAAAAACACTTCTCTGTCTCTGTTTATATATACAGTCTCTATGGTCACACCCAACACTTGGAAGAGACAGGTCTGAACTCCCAGTGAACTCTGGGAAATGTCAGCTGAGGTCACGCTGACAGAGAAACTCTTTTTAAGCTTGATTAAAGTAATAAACGTTATTTAAAACGAGACCAGACTACTAAGTGGTTTAAGGAGCATAACGGTATAATAGGTAACATTTCTACATTAACACTTTTATAAATAACTAGAATATAGTTGTGTACTTACATTATCTCAAAATGCTTCCATCAATGTTCAGAGAAGATTTGAGAATAATAAAAAGTAATTTAAACGGTGAGTTTCATCTAGTCGCATGTCATGGTGTCATATCCCCTTTGAACTTAAGTAAAGATGACAAAGATATTCTTTAATAATCCCTCCATGGAAAATGATATTTTACCTTTGCTGTGGTTTTACACTTTACACAGTCTTAGTCCAAAAATTCACACAAAGCAGTAAATTCACAACCTTGAGACACTGGAACGATCAAATATTATGTATTATCAAAACTGTTTTTTTAGATAACCATGAAGTGTTTCTGTGTCCAGGTGATTCCCCTGAGCTGGTACCGCGTCCTGCTGCCTCGCTACGCCCTGGTCCTGGAGCTGGGGTCTGACGGACGGCTGGTGGGCTCGCTGCAGGACCCCGAGGCCCGCCTCACCTGGGCCATCAGCGACGTGTTCCAGCACCGCGGGAGGACGTACCTGGGCAGCACCGACCTGCCCTTCTTGCCCGTCCTGGAGGGGGGGACAGCTGATGACGGGCCGTGGCAGGAAACTTAACGTAGGATTAATGTTTTTATTTGTGGACTGTTGTGATCGAGCAGCTGAGAGGAACTGTGCTTCTGGATTTTACTTTTTAAGGTTTTTAGTGGCTGTTCGCCCATGGATTAATGTGCAGATGTTGCATTGATCACACCTGGATATTTTGGTTTGAGGTCGGACTTTTTCACACACTAACTGAGAGAAGAACTGAGAAACTGTGAAGACATTTTAAGGAAAGTAAACGTTTCTGTGGGAGCAATAACACAAGTGATAAAATGCTGATTCATAGACTGTAATTTATGTTTTAATTTTCCCAGGAACATTGAGCTAAAACCATATCATATAACTAAAATACTGTACATTAAAATATAGAAATGAAGTAAAAAATACTCCACCCATTCATCATCACACCGTCTGCAGAAGACACCTTTATCCAACTGGAATACATCTTCCAAAATAAACTCAATGTTATTTTACTTTCTCTCTTAGGATTTGTATTTAATTTACAACCAACATTTTAATTTGGGAAGGAATGTGTACTACTAAAATAAATTGTAAAAGCTGAAATTAAATAAATATTTTATATAAAAATAACATTTGACTAAATGCGTAATTCATTTAAAAATCTATTTGGACATTTGAAGACATCTGGGATTGTGAGCATTCTCTGAATTATTTTCTGACATTTAATAGACTCAAATATGCATTGATTAATCTAGAAAATACATACATTATGATGTCCTTTTGTTGTTCTGTTGTTTATGTTTTTATGTCTTCTTGTGGAACCTACTGCTGCAGGTCTCCCTTGAAAAAGAGATCATTGATCTCAATGGGATTTTACCTGGATAAATAAAGGTTTTGAATTGAATTGACAGTTCTTGCATCAAACCTTAACATAAACGTTGCATTTGTTTTAGAATTTAAAGGACACCTATCATGCTATATTTGAACAATATATTGTAGGGCCATACCTATATAAAGTATATAAATATCTTTTTTTTTTTCAAAATACCAAAAAGATCCTGCATTTTAGCCATGCCTCATTTCGCTCTATTTGCTTTTTCCAGCGCTGTTTTTGCAGAGGGCTGATTCTGTGAGCTGCAGCTGACCACGCCCCCCTGCAGGAGAGGGGAGCGTGCTCTGCAGCTAGGCTGCAGCGGGGAGAAAAAGAGATCTCCGTCCACCGTGTTTTATTCTTATAGAAGTAAGAAGAGAAGTAATGGGGCAGAAACCCTCCTTTTTACGCAGCGGTCCAGACATATACATCAAACGGCGACACATATTCAGTTGCCAGTTACTTTGGCATTAGGGCAGGGATATCTAGATACTTTCCAAGGTTTGACATAATGAATTGTGCTACTTTTAAAGCAAGCAATGATGTTTTCAAATCTGTAATCAAAAAGCTCCTCAAAACACTATCGAAGCAGTTCCTGCCGTTGCTACGTTAGTTCAAACAGTAACAACGGACTACTTTTCTTAGCGGATGCATGTCAATTTAAATCAATACAACTATTTTTTAAATCCATAAAAGCATTTCAATTAATATTGGGAGTCATGTCGTTACTTTGTCGATAATGTGGCCATGTAATAAGCGGGATAATGTGCAAATTGCATAATGTGCCTTCATGCCGATCTAGATCCCTCCGGGATCAGCCTGTCGGTGTACTTTTCCCAATAATGACCGCGTCGCTGCACATTATCCCTTACATATGATTATATAGTCATTATTCATTTGTTTTAAAGCAGGAGGCGCAAAAGCTTAGAATAAACAGAAGGGCAACCATGCAAGGGAAGTCTTCTTCGCTGCTTTTGTGGCAGACTACAGCGCCACTTACAGGCCTGGCATATGTACTACAGCGTCTCCAGCGCTTTCAAGCAGCAATGGCCGGCCGTGGCCCAACCTCTCATTCCCCTGATAGGTGGAGAATTGACCAATAGCCGTAGCGCCACCGTCCTGACGTCAGGACAGTGTTCAAATCTGGATCAGTCTTTATCAGATCCGTTGCAGCCTCTTTTTTTAGAGATTTGGGGAGGAAAATATAGAGGGTTGTGTTTTCTGACACTTGGTGAGTTCCCTGGAACACCGGGGACACATTCATGTATGAAGGACGTACAAAAGTGCATTTTGCATGATAGGTCCCCTTTAAAGGAAATGTTTAAATAAAACAGGTAAGATTTAAAGGTAAGTTCATGAAGAAGGCTTTTAGGGTCACCGGTTATCAAAACTTAAAATACTTTGTGTAAATGTGACAAAGACAAATCTAAAATTGACAAATGTAGTATTTTGAGAATCTCTTTATTTGGACAAACACACAATCAAGCCCAAAATACAGAATCATAAAAAGCAACTCTACAAAAATATTTAATGAAATAAAACTAATGGTTCCATAAAGAGAGTTCTGACAGATTGGAAAGTGCATCAGTGAAATATGACCACATGTGGAGCTCAGGGTTCTCACATTAATTCAGTCCCGATGTGAATCAGATACAGAGGAGCATGCATGAACAAAAAGAATAATAAATCCAGTAGCAGTGGAACACATTTTAACAGCCAGTCAGAAAAAAATTCACAATTGAGATAAACACACACAACAAGAGTCAGTCGTTTAGTTATGACCAGACTTTCTGATATTTCATATTTCCCCTCAAAATGTCCTGATCAGATCTTCGGTTAGATTCTGGAAACTGAACAAATTTGAGCTTTATTTAAATAAAATGTATCACCAAAAAATACTTTCTGTAGGTAGCTTTGATTTCTTGTTTATTTAGCCTCTGGAAATCAGATTTATTTCAACACCGCAGAATAGTTAAAGTGTGGCGGGAAAAAAACATAATTATCCAACACAAAGCTTCTTTTTAAATGTGAGGGAGAAGGTGGCATGGATAAAAATATCAAATATATTTTTTTCATTTGTCCTTCAAAAGTCCAGCCCCCTGCCCCCCTAGAAACATAAACAAAATAACTCTCCTAAAACAGGAACCCTGATTATTGGAAAAGTTTAACCTTTTTATTTTCCTCTAGAAAATGGATCTCTTCTCCTTAACCCTTTTTATTTAAATGTGGCTCAGTTAAACGCAAAACGAAATAGTTGTCGAAATGTTCCACCCCAACATAGAAATGTATTTTCTTCCCATCTAAAGTGACAGTTGTGACATATATAAAGTAAATATGAAATATACAACACAGGATGAATTCAATCCAAATAGGAAATGTACTTTTATGCGAGTCTGATACTAAAACGGTGTAGCAAGTGCTTTCAAAGTCAGAAATGATCCTGTAAACTTAGAAGCAGGTTTTTATCGATACCACTAATAATTATTGGACATTTCTCCTGACTGATTTCAGACTCCTTCACTCGCATAAAAAGTAATGACTGACTCAAATCGAAATTGGTGTTAGCTTATCCTTGTCACATGCTGTGTGGGATCGTTATTCAGTCGTATTGTCTTTAGCTTCAGAGTGGAAGAGACAGCTGGATTGTAAATGTAGGCACTCGTTTCTGTGAGATGGGTTTCTGTTGGACTTCCTGTTTGTCAACTTCTCTGTAGGCGGCTCGCTTTTCTCTGCATTCCTCGCAGTATAATCTTTCCATCTCCTTCTCACATCTATTCAAGCCAACACTGTTGACGAATTACGCCAAATGTACAGGTGAGCGTTCAACTTTGTATCGTCTTATATAGTTCATTATTGCACTACAAATGCCTGTGACCGTTCTGATTTTACGGTTTCTCTTATCATCGTACCAGGATTTATTTAGCTGCAGTCGGTTGATCCTCATTGACATTATCAAGTGACCACAGTGCTGTTTTTGATTATTATGCTTTTATATATATTACTACCAGTGCAACTCAGTGATTTATATTTAACATTTGACAAATTATTGAGGACCATCCGAATGCAGCAAACCACTTCCTGTGCACTATTTAAATAAGAAAAACATATTGTGACCTCATCGCTGCTTGGACCTTTGATATTATCTTCTCAACGGAGACATTTATAAGAACTGGGTCTTTTTGTCCCTTTTGTGTAGGGTTTCAAACAAATACAACGTTTAGAATGCTTACAAGGCGACAAGGAGTAATGGCTTGTGAGTATAAATCAACACTGAATAATGTCTCTGCACACCTACAGACAAACTCAACAAACAGTAGCCCAACCTGGAGCCTTTAAGGGGGAGGGAGGGGGGGGGGGGGGGGGGAGCACCCACAGAGGCCTCTTCCCCCCCCGATCACTTCTCCATCCATCCACACACACACACAGACCGCTCAGGCCTGAAACAAGGCAACACCAGCAGGAGGCTGGATACTAAAAACTATTCAGCCCTCCTCTTCCTCCCTCCATCTCCTCTTCTCCACCTCCTCACTTCCTCTTCTGTCGGAGGCTGCTGGGCGGCCAGCTGTGGCCCGGAAACATCTGTCTCGGGTCAAATTTATACCTGAGAAGACAGAGGCATTCGTATTCTAATGCGATTCTATAACCAGTCAAACAAAGAAGATTTCCTGAAACTGTTGGTCTGTCATATCTGAATCATTTCCAAGAAGTTCCCTGGAAAGAAATACAGTTTGCAATATAATAATTGTATGGATAATATAGATGGTGCTAAATTAAAATATTCTCTGAGATTACGAGGTAATACATTGACAAAAACATAAATAGTGTATGAATGTTATTCATGGCCAAAATAATCTACATGTTCTGGTTTTTTTGTACATTTATGCCGCTAATTTAGAAAATGTTCTAGGTGTTTTCTCTTTAAGTTATTGTCATAAATGTAACACTCTAAGCACAGGGAATATAAACCCCCTCTCTTGGCACCATCATTAGTTTATTTTTAACTTTCAATGGCCCCATTATGCAGTCATAGTTCAATACACTTTCCATTTATAAATTATTTTATAGTACTACAAACCTTGTTAACTACAGTTAATCAGTAATAGAAAGTCCCTACACACAAATGCAGTATCATGCAAGAGTATGCACTATTACAACTTGGATTCTGTCAGATATATTGGTTTTCTGTTTTCTGTTGTGCAGCAAGCCTTGATTTCATGTTTGTTTCAATAATTCATCTGTATGTTCTTGAAGCAGGAATTCGGGGTCAAATTAGCCCTGCTACTCTTAATTCATTTTTTACTTTCACTTTTCAGAGAATCAATGCAGCATGGCGGTGCTGAACAGACCTGGAGTCGTAGACGCCGGGGGTCCGACAGGACTGTCCGGCGCAGGACTGCAGCATCATCAGCCGGTGGTTCATCTTCTCCAGAACCTCCTGGTCGATGCTCTTTGCGATGTTGGTCAGCTGGTAGGGGTCTGCTGTCACGTTGTAGACTTCTACAAACACCTGCAGGGGGCGCACATCCACAAACAATGTTACCTTCCAGCTGAGGAAACTAAAACATAAGAAGGATTCCTCCACCACCAGTAGGCAGTGGCACCAAAGTAGAGAATCTTCATAAAGATATGATGGCTTTAGGGAGAAACACTTCTTTAAACCAATCAATAGAAGGATAGACTTCAACAGTTGATTACTTTACATTAAGGCAATTGTTTTTTGTATAACACCTTTTCTGAAATGTTATGTTTAATTTATGCAGATAAGACAGGACTTTATTTGTCCCGAAGGAAATTGTTGTGCCTAAAGTTACACATTAGGCATTATCTAATGTCACAAAGACAAAGTTAGAAAAAAAGACTGGAATGGAACTAAAAGTACTTTTGCATGACAAATGGTGTTTCAGCACATCCAAATATGAATGATTGTATACAGTCTTTATCTTTTCAGGTCATAAAAGGGTAATACAAATTAGATGGAAGAAGAAAGACCAACCTCATTATCGTCAAATTCACAGTACTGCAGGTTTGAGGAGGCGGCGACCGTGCGCACACACGCGTATGTGTTGTTGTATGAGTCCTCACACACACAGTCTGGGAAACACTCCTGCAGGAAGAGGACGGATGGAAGAAGGAGAATAATTAGCTTATTTATTTGACTTCTTCCCTCTCACAGATCAAATGAAAGTTTCCTCTCTTACCGACACCCCGGGTCCCAGCAGAGGGCAGGCGGGGTCAGAGACGTTGCTCCCCTCCCCCTCGTACTCCACCAGGATGTCTGTCCTCCAGCTGCTGCTGTTCACCCTGCCCTCCTGAACACACACAGGTACACATGTGCACAACCTCTCATTGATAGGTCAAGATAACATAGAACTTTATCAAACCCCAGAGGACATTCTTGCTTAAAAAACAAATAAATAATACAGATGGAAATAATCAAAAGAGTAAACTAATTAAATTAAGTGTGAAATAAGTAATACTTACACAGGTGCCACATAGAATAACAATGAACATTATTTGAAAGGCTAAGTAAACAAAAATAGAAAAGTAATATTGTGCAAACTTTCTTAAATTCAGCACTGTAACTTTTACATTACTTTAACTAGAATCATTTATTTTTAAATGTAATCCGTTGAAAATGTTTGTGTTTTGTGTTAATTAAATCTATTTAAAGTGCAATATTAATATCGGAATCTGTTTATTTTGAATATATAAAAAAAACTATTTTTAAGATGTCTTTTTTTCTCCCAAAACACTTTTATAATAATAACATAAATGATATATTAGGAGAAAAGTGGTGCCGGTTTAAAGAGCTTCAGAATGAACAGTTGTTTTGTTTTTGACTGTAAATAGACTGATGTTTGTTTTTGATGAATCAGACACTGAAGAAGAACAATAACATGAACAGGTTGTTAGTGACCTCACCATGACGGGCAGGAAGGACATGCCGTCCATCTGCGTCTTGTTGACGTTGTAGCCGGCGATGTCCAGCATGGTCGGGCCGAGGTCCACGTTGGCCACCAGCATCTGAAAACAAGATTATTACATTTCATTTAGTTCAACAAATACTGCAGGGAGGCAGTGAGCTGATACTGCAACAGAACACATACCTGGCTGGTCTGGTTGGGTTTGATATTTGGTCCTCGGACCATGAGAGGAACTTTGATGTCAAACTCGTAGAGCTGCCTCTTATCCAGAGGAAGAGAGAACTGACCTGAAAGAAAACAAACACTTAAACCTTCTGAATCCAGAGTCCTTGTTTATTTGTGTTTTAAAAAAAAGGAACATCTACTTGTTATCGGCTATTTTAAGAGTCTATTTTTGATTACCTGTGTGGTATCCGTTGTCTGAGGTGAAGAAGATGTACGTATTGTCCAGTTCAGATCTGACCTCCAAACTTTTCACGATCTTCTCCACCAGGTCGTCCACTGACAGCAGAGTCCTCCATCTGCCGGCCAGGAAACCAAAATGTGAGACTTTATATAGAAACAAAGCTCATACAAAGGTCAAACAACTGTTAAGCTAACTACTGTGTTTATGAGCATTGTTAGAGTTAAGTGCTTTATTGTCATCGCTGAAAAAATGAAGAGTGCGAAGCTAAATAAAGGAATGGATGGAGAGAAGGAAGAAGAAAGAAACGAAGGAAGAAGGATAAAGCAAAAAGGAAATGATAGACGCAGCAATGACCGACCGTTTCCTGAAGGCATCGTCCAGGAACTGCACCGAGGAGTTGGTCATGGGAGTTTTAGCCTGTCGGATCAGCCAGTGTTTGTCCTGAGGGGAGATGGAATAATGTCACCTTTTTTGTTGTCCCATCCTCACAGGGGATATTTAAGTGGAAGGAGGAGCCTACCTTCCCGTGGACGTTGAAGTTGGGGTCTCGAGGAGCCTTGGTGGTGTTGAAGCTGTTCTGGTACTGAGGGGCTGCCGTCCACGGGGAGTGGGGGGCCGGGATGGACACCATCATGAAGAACGGCTGGTAGTTTGATTTATACTGCAGGAAGTCCAGAGACCTGTTGGCCTGAGAGTCGCAGCAAAGACGTTCATTCTAGGCATTTTTATTTGGGTTATCATCAACTAAAATGAAAACAAGCAATGAAACATATTGTTGTGTATACAAACTAGACCCTTTAAGAAAAAATAATGTAATCTAAAATAAGCAAACGCACTCTGAAAACTAAACTAAATCGTAAAGTCAAAGCTAAAAATTCATGTAAAACTAATTGAGCTCTTACTAACCCTAACGACCTTGCTTGTTATATTACATGTTGCTTGTTCTTTCATTTATATCATATTAAAATCATTATTTCAGTATATTCTTAAGTTTATAGAATATTGTTTTAATGGGACAGTCACAATTTAAAATATTATTTTAACAGGAAAACCAAGAATGACACACAATCAAATAAAGCTGGTGTGTTTGATTTCCTCACCAGGACGTCTGTCAGGTAGTCTTTGCTGTAGTCTGCTCCGTGTTCCTCAGGCTTCCCGTTCACTGACAGAGTGTAGTTGTAGTATTTAGAGTTCTTCTCCTGGAAAACACAAACAACTTCATGAAATACTCTTATTTGGGATTTTACCATTTTTGTGCTTCCGTTTATGTCGTGGTAGAAATGTAACCCCTTAAGTTAATTTTACTTCTTTTATATACATTCTTGCTCAAGTTAAACTTATGAAGTCTGCACTGTGTGGCAAAACTATTTTATTTCACCTTGGAAAACCTCTTTACCCCACCGGTTCCAAAGTTACCTCATTCACACCAACGCAACTCCGGTTCAAGCTCCGTGCTAGAGCTTATCAGGTTCAGAACCGGTTCTTCGGTTTAGCTCCGGCTCTTTTCACACCGCCCAGAGTCCGACTGATGCTGCGTCATTGCATCATCGTTTGCGTCATGACGTAACCGTTTGCGTGCCTGCTTCATAAAGCCAAACCGCGCGGAAACCCCTCACAGCTGACACCGACAACAACAACAATGGCCGATTGTGCTCCAGCTTCCTCTGTACCTCTTCGGAAGACCAGATTCCCAGTAGGTAGCTGGTCTCTTCAGTGGACCACTGCTGCTTGTTAAGTTTCTCCATCGTTGTGTACAAGCTGGATAAAACGCCGGCTTCTTGTTGTTGTTCAGGAGTTGATCCCGCCCCTGCCCCCGCCTCGACGTAAGCGTGACGTATGCGGTGCTTTTGCTCTACCCGGACAATTTTTTGGTGCTTGAAACGAACCGGATTCCGGAGCTAAGAGGCTGCTCCGCTGCGGTGTGAACAGGAAAACCCGGTGCTTTTTAAGTTCCAGCTCCGAACCGGCCCTGAAACACCGTTGGTGTGAATGAGGTATGAGGGATATTTAAGAACTTAGGAAGTCATAAACACAGGAAAGAAAAATATGGATCGAAAATGGATCACCAGAATCTTATTTTTCTCCATCGTCCTTTAGGACTTCTGTAGAGGACAGATATTAAAAGTAAAATAAGAACAAATAAAAACGTAAGCCCCAAACCCTTTTTATGTTGTCAGCACTTTAAGCTTGTTTAGTGTAGGATTACAAACATTAACTAAACGTCCTCACGGTCACATGTTCCTCACACAATCTATAGAATCAGCATGACTGTCTGAGTTAAGATAAACTGTCGGGTCATGGGACCAGATGTGTTTGTTTAGTAGCGCTGCAGATAAAAACAGGTCTGCACTCTGGTCGTATTACCACCGTGACCTCTGCTTACTGACAAACCCAGTTAGAGACTGAAAGAAAATCTAATTTTAGTCTATTTATTCGTCTGGCTGCTGCAGCAGACAGCTCAGAGTCACATGACGACTGAGCTTAACTCAGATCTGCTCTTACACACACAAACTCCCCAGAGACATTTATGTACCAGAAACAGGGGAAAAAAGGAATATATATATAATATACAGTACGGAAAAGTTGCTTTATCATTTCCCAAATTCATGGCACAGGATTTGACTTGCAGACGGGAACATATAATAAAAGGCTTTCAATTGTAAACAAAAATAAACAATTGGTGTCAGACAGGAGGGAGCCTAGATGGACATTTGGGGCTCCAATGTTGTTTAGAAAAAACAAAACGTCAGTCTTACCAGTCCGACCCAGTAGTTCCAGCCTGGAGGAACATGCTCCACCCCCCCAGCCTCCGAGTGCCCATACTGAAACACAAACAGAATCATTATGTGAACTTATTTATACAACCAATGTCTTGAATTCAGTTTTCTTGATTGGCATTATAGCAGCACACCGATAAAGAGACAAACACAATATAAATATATATTTCCAGGAAGACGTATATGGGCCTAATGCATGTATCTTATTCTGTTGGTACCCATCCATTCTTATGTTTGCTCTTCTCTTAGGGAATATACAATTATAAAAGTGGCCTGGTGGCATCTCTACAATTCTTGGGCATGTGCAAGAGTATTTGCACATGGAACACGCCTGCACTTATATAGTGTTAAGGGGGCGGTACCTGTGTTAATAAATAACAATCGGCCACACATTAGGAGGAGCAGAAACATTTGATTTCTCACGAGTGGACTCCTTCAGCAAAGGCATTTTTGTATCACTTTAGGCACGTCAGTTAAAAGTTATAGCTGCTGCGACACAGGGAAGCTGGAGGTGAAGTGTGTCTCCTGGTTCCCCATTTGTTCGTCTGTTTATCTCGAGGGTTGATGCAACTTTGACAGCTTGACTTAATCATGAGACTGAATCACGAAGGGAAGACCTTGTGACAGTGTTTAACTATTCACCTAAAGTCTGTTTTTTTTTTTTATTGGAGGTGTTGCAAAAATGCTGGACAGATCGGCATACATAAGGAAGTCAAGTCAAATGTGTACATTGTACTACAATTTATTAAAAAGTTGTACAAATGGGAATATGCAAGTACAAATAAATATATTATTGATGAAAACCTGATTATTGCTCAAAATGTAAACTGTAATGCAGTACTAATCCTTAGCAATATTAGACTGTCACAGTTGAATAATTGAAACATTGAAGTTACACAGCTTAAGTATTGTTGGTATTGCACAGTTGGTTTAAGCTCCAGAATGGTAAAAAAGGACGCCTTGAGGCTTTTTACCAGGTTCCAATTCATGCTTCTCTTCTATTTTGTTCCTACATCCTACCCAAATGCACACGTATGTAGTGGTATCATCCCTAACCTGGTTCAGATATTTCCCGGCGAAGAAGGTCTGGTAGCCTCCGTACGTCCTCAGCAGGGCGGGGAAGGTGTGCGCCTCCTCGCTCTTCTGCCAGGCTCTGCTGCTGCAGTTCCCCTCCAGCGTGTTGTTGATGACGTGGTGGTTGTGCGGGTATTTCCCCGTCAGGATGCTGGCGCGACTCGGGCAGCACAGCGGACTGGCCACAAACTGTTAGGGGCAGGAGAGGAGGAAAATGGCTCTTTTTTAATATCTGTACTATCTTCTCTCTACAGCACTAAATGGACGATAATGATGCTGATACTTACTGAGTTTGTGAACGATATTCCAGCATCACCTATCAGTTTTTTCGTCTTGGTGAGTGGACTCTGGAAGGAAAATATATTGATGGGACAAATTCATTATCTGAGTAATGTAATGGCCTCCTGTGTTCTTTAGTAGCTTCTTTGTAACCGTTATCTAATTAAGTTGCATCAGTGCCTAATATGGATTTGAACACTGTTTTGACCTATTGGCATGCAGACAGACAATAACATTTACTTAAAATTAGGGATGGGTATCGTTTGAAATGTATCGATTCCGATTCCGGTTCTGCTTATCAATTCCGGTTCTTATCGATTCCCCGTTTCGATTCCAAAATTGTAAAAGAAAGAGGTCAAACGTTTAGATAACAAAAATATCTTTATTCTTTTCAGCTTTAACTGAAATTGTTACAAATAAAAAATATACATGCAATACAAATGTATTGCACAATAGCTGTGCTTTATTTTAACTGAGCTATGCCTGTGGCAAGCTATTAACACTGTGCCCAATTGTCTTTTTATTTGTTAGTGTTGTGGAGCCTCACTTCAGAGCGTTTACCGCGACCCATCTTTGGTGTTATGAAGTGACTGAGCTCGTGAACTGTCTACGGGAGGGCGGGGGGAGCCTCGCTGCGGGGCAACTGTGGACCTCTGTCGCCTGTCAGCGCAACTTACATGATGCCGTTTAAAAAAATTAAGGGCGGTGCCGGCCATCAGTGTACCGAGCCGGCCGTCAACGGCCCGCTGACGATCGGCCGTTCTGTGATTCTCCAGGTCCGCCCTGTATTCCACCGGGTCGCCGCGGTACAGACGGACCCGCTGGAATACAGGGTCTACCGCGTTTAGGAACCGTTAAGCAGAACCGAAAAGGTGTATTTTGTACGGGTACCCGGTACCCGGCATTTTCTTATCGGTTCTCATCTGGAACCGAGTTTCGGTTCCCAACCCTACTTAAAATATATTTATATTGCGCATAAACATTCTTCACAGATCCAAACTCTATATATTCTAAGCTTTACCAACTGTTGTGGTTAGAGCTGAAAAATATAATTGAATTAATTTAACTTAAAACTGCAGGTCTTTTATTTACCAAACACCCACTAGTTCCAACTTCAGAAATATAAAAAAACCTTTGTCTTGTAGTAATGGTAAACTAATTGTTTTTTCTTTTGGCCAATCATGCTATTTATAAAAGTTCCTTTTAGTTTCATTGTATACTAACCTTTTGTTTGACGAGCAAACAATACATCAATAACAGCAACAACAAAAAAACTATCCATAGATTATTTAATACTATTGAATTAATCCCTAAAAGAAATAAAAAATATCCAGTGTGTTAAAAAAGGCACATAAAGTACTGATACATACAAATAAATAAAATAAGAACAGTTTAGTGTGTGTTGCCAAAGCAGGTTATGCAAATGTGAGCTGATTAAAGAGTAAGGAGATACACAATGACGTACTTCTACTTTTCATACTAAATGTTGTTGATAATACTTACATTTAGGTAACTTTTAGTGGAGTATTTTCATAGTGTGTATGGTTTCACATCTTACTCAAATAAACATCGGCATACTTATTTTACCTCTAAACAAACAACACACTGTGAGACAGACAGCTGTTTCAATTTCGAGATTTTTAGTCAGCAAATATTATGCTGACTATGAGAAATGCCTCAAGGATGTGTCTAACCAGGAGGAATGTGAGCAGCTTCATCACTCTGGACTGAAAATAAAAGTCAAGTTTACATCAGTTAAATCACATGCATCGTCCTATCCTGCAAACACAGACTTATTGGTAAAACAAATAAACACCTAGCATGTAATAATAGCCAAAAAACAAACAAATGCACTCACCAGACCCCCGATAGCGATGTCCAAGTCGTCGGTGAGGATCAAAACAATGTTAGGTCTCCTGAATGATTTTGCAAACAGCCCGCTGCTCAAAGTGACGCAGGTTAGTAAACAGTGTAAAAGAATGAGCGAACACGCGCCATTTAAACCCATTTTCATGAAGTAATGATAAAATACTGAAGCTGTCCGTCTCTTCCTTCAGCTCGGCTTCTCCTTTTAAGCGTGAAATGAATTTACCGAGACCTCTGCGGAGGAAAACAAACTCGGCCCTGTGACTTCTCGGACAACACTTCCTTGTTTCCCGGTCATGTGCCGCGCGGCTACGGAAGCCCGAGTCAGCTGATTTGAAGAAGTCCGCCCCCCCCCCCCCCCCCAGCATGACTAATCAGTAAAAAATAACCGTTACTCTTACTTTTTAGCCCATGCTGATGGTTTATTGTTTTATTACTGCATTATACTGCTATATTTTATTTTCTATAGAAACAACTATATGAATGAATAGCTATTCTATCGTCAGAGGTGGAATGATTAAGAAATATATATATTATTGCCATGTCGTGTCATGATTATTACTTTTATTGTTGGTACTTTAAAGATATTGTAATGCTTCTTTTGTGCTTTTATTCAGGATTTGAATTCAGGATTGCTAAAGTAAGAGATCAGAATAGCCTACTTCTCCTACTACAGTAGTAGCCTACTCGTCACCACAGGGTAGAATACTATGTTACAAATAAAAGTACTGCATTCAAAATGATAGAAAACGTACAAAAGCATTAAGATCAAAGGACCAAAATTAAAAGTATTCATTATTTAGAATGACTCATTTTATAATCATATATTATATTACTGGATATATATATTATTATTATTATTAATGCATTATTAAGTGTATTACTTGAACTCTGCAGCTTGTAAAGTCGAGCTAAGTTAATTACTTATATTGTTGGGTAACTTTATCAATAATATGTCATAATGTATTGTTGTTATTTATTTGTTATTAATTTTTATTAATTTATACAGCTGCATTAATGTAGTGAAGTAAATCAAGTAGTAGCAACAATATACCAAACATCAGGCAAGCTTAGATATCTGCCACTATCAGATTATTGCAGATATATCGTATGGTGACAGATAATATACAAGAAGTTGCAGTACAGAATGTTGTTTGAGGTCGTTTAAAACGCCATTACACAATCTGTCCACCAGAGAGCACCGACGTGTTTTTTTTATTTACTGCGGTGGAAAATACGTTTACTCTAGTCTCATATTTCTGACAATATGTTGTGCAGTTGCAGAGTGCAGCTAAGTAGCATCATTTGCATCAAAGTAGGCTACTTGTTCTTCACTTATTTTCCCACTTGCAACTTTATACTTCTGAAAATAAAGTACTTATTTGATTCACTACATTTATTTTATAAACATTTTTACTTTGCTGATTCAGATTAGCCTATCAATGTAAAATATTATTAGCAAATTATTAAATAATATTACTGTAGATAAAGACTCAATAATGTACAAAATAATACATCAGTGATTATAATTCAATAATGGCTGCAGTGTTAGCCTACATTATTCTGAATGGGCCCATCCCATCCCAACTACGTTTACTTTTTGTAGGCATCTTGCAGACTATTTGTTAGTAGCCTATATTTGGCAACTACATTTAATATAGTAACATATTGAATGCAGGATATTTATTTGTGAGTGTTTATACACTGTGGTAGTCTTGGTACTTTTACCAATTGTATTAAAAGGTCTGAGAGTAGGCTTACTTCCACAACTGTTTGCTTTGCAACAAGCAATGTGTGTTTAACAACCACCACTGCTATACACATTTATCTGGAGATGTATTTGGCAGGTCTACAGATACATGAACAAGTAAACGTTTAAAAAATATACCTCAAATTAACAGTGTATTATCATGTTAGTGTTATTCTCCGTTGTTTAATACATTACATTGTATTGCTCAAATAAACGTACAAAATGACCTTCTGGCTTAATGATTAAACAAGGATGCGGATTGGTTGGTTTACTTTTGTCTCTTCTGTGATTGGTCAATCCACCAGCACCTGTTGCGCGACCTGAAGAAAGTTTGGCAGCCGTTGAGATATTTAGCCAGAGTGGGCCGGCCCATTGTTATCCAGGAGAAGGGGGGGCAGGGAAGTCATGTCCGGAACGTTCAGGAAGAAAACTAAAAGCTGACAAACGGGTTTCTACCTTTTCTGAGGTGAGGAATGGAGTGCTCCAGGAACTCTATCCTCTTCACAGAAAACTTTCTAACTTCTGCTAGGATGTCTGGAAATCAATATTAATTTAAAGAAAAATGGCGTCGCCGGTGAAATTAAACGGAACCGAACTTTTGGAAGTTGACATATGCGACGGTGTATGTTCCGAGGACGAAAGCGGCGTTTTCGTCAATTGTGTATCCGCCTTTCAGGAGGACTTCTCCGGCTTCCAGCAGTGGACAAACTCCACCGAGTCAACTTATGACACATCATCGCCTCCGGGACAGCAGGTGCCCTCCACCGGGGAGCACGAAGCTCCACCTGCCGCTGTTAGGACTAGCGCGGCAGGGGACAGTGACTCTGAGACCACGGGCGATGGAGTCAAATTCATCAGGTCTAGGTCCATAGTGGACTGTCTTTTGGTGGAGCTTTATGAGACGTACAACGGTGGTAGCAGGAGGAATTTGGACAGCTGGGATAGCTCCACAGAGGCGTCCGGATCTGATGCTTTCCTCGGCCGCAGTAACTCCGGGTCCAGCTTCCTCCAGGAGCTCCAGGAGAAGCACACAAGGAGGCATCAGATGAACTACCTGGCACAGAAAGGTGAGGGGTCTGTTCATTGATTGATTGGCTTGGGTCCAATATGGCCTGGGATGTTTTTAGATCAACAAAGTCGCAAAACACATGCGTTTTTTTATACAATAAGCAGCAACAGTCAAGGACATGCTACAAGGACCACAGATGGAAATGAACTATTAGCTATAATCTGGCATATTGCATCTCTTCTCTTTGCTGAGATTAATGTTTTTGTATGCATGGTCCTTCTATAAATAAATACAAAACAATGGAAAACAACATGGAAGAAACCATATTTTAGACTCCTCCTAGCATCACAATCAATAAAGGGGTTCACATTTTTTTAATTATAATAACAAAACACAGTAAGAAAGAAATTAAAGCCTTATTTTTATACTTTAAATGATCCTCTGACTGTGGGCCTGGGCTTTTTTAACTGGTCAAACAAATGTGATTATTTGTTCAAACCTGTGATACACTTTTTATTTTCATGCATTTCACAAATTAGGCATACATTTACCATACATATCCATCTTTTTTAGGGCTGATATTTTGATATTTGGATGTGGTATTGGTGTTCAATATATAGGGATGGGTATCGTTTGAAATTTATCGATTCCGATTTCGATTCCGGTTCTGCTTATCGATTCCGGTTCTTATCGATTCCCCGTTTCGATTCCAAAATTGTAAAATAAAGAGGTCAAACGTTTAGATAACAAAAATATATTTATTCTTAAAAGCTTTAACTGAAATTGTTACTAAAAAATATACATGCAATACAAATGTATTGCACAATAGCTGTGCTTTATTTTAACTGAGCTATGCCTGTGGCAAGCTATTAACAGGCATTACACTTTGCCTTTTATTTTTATTTTTTAGTGTAGTGGAGCCTCACTTCAGAGTGTTTACCGCGACCTATCTTTGGTGTTATGAAGTGACTGAGCTCGTGAAATGTCTACGGGAGGGCGGGGGAGCATCGCTGCGGGGAAACTGTGGACCTCTGTCGCCTGTCAGCGCAATTTATATGATGCCGTTTAAAAAAATGAAGGGCGGTGCCGGACGTCAGCGTACCGAGCCGGCCGTCAACGGCCCGCTGACGACCGGCCGTTCTGTGATTCTCCAGGTCCGCCCTGTATTCCACCGGGTCACCGCAGCACCGCGGTGCAGACGGACCCGCTGGAATACAGGGTCTACCGCGTTTAGGAACCGTTAAGCAGAACCGAAATTGTGTATTTTGTATGGGTACCCGGTACCCGGCATTTTCTTATCGGTTCTCATCTGGAACCGAGTTTCGGTTCCCAACCCTATCAATATATCTGCTAGCTCATACATGGTGGCAATATTTGTTTTATTTGAGATATTTAAACTTTGCCTGAGAGCTTTATTGGTGTAATACATGAGGCAGGAACATCTAATAGCAGACTTTCTGATAATACATAACCATTATTTTACGAGGAATATGTAAACAAAGTGATTGATTAAATAAAAAAGCAATATATCTGCAGATATGTGTACAATTTTTTTATATAGTGTAAATGTTATGTAAATTCCCCAGCATAAAAGCACCTGATACAGAGAACTTCCATTGAAAAATAAAATGTATTGGTCATTTGATCTGCTTAGCACTCTCGGTGTATGGCCCGCATACACCCTACACATGATAATAAATAAATTGTGTATAGTCTTGTGATAGCCATGACTAAAGTGATTAATTATCCATCTATGTGAGCTAGTTGTAAATCACAGGAGGGGTTTTCTTTACCTTCAAGTCCTTTTGGAGACAGACAGAAAACAGTAGGAGACACATTTAATAAAACAAGGCTCCAGTGTACCATCATTGAATTTATGAATTCAATTAAATGTGCCTGTAATCAGATTGAGGATTTTGTTTGTTGCCAAGGAGGTTTGCAAATACAAGGGATATGTTTTTGGTGCATTGGTGCATACATAAACAAAGTAAGAGATCTTTAAAAATGAAAAATATGAGTTGCTTTTAAAAAAAGGTTTATCATGATATGTAGCAGGTATGTGTATAAGGCCTCACTGTTTACAGGCATGCAGACCTTTAGACAAACACACTCCAACACAGAGGCTGATGAGTGTGTTGACAGCTCGTTTGAATGGCCTCAGTGTGTGCTGATAAACACTGTTTCCTCAGTCGTGAGAGGCATGTTGCAGGGAGGTCTACGCTGCCATTGTTTCCTCTGTTCAAGTAGAATCCTACAGTAAACAGTAAACACAGACAGGCCTCTGAGCGCAGTGTTTGCTCTCCACACACACACACACACACACACACACGTACATGAGGCTCGGTCGAGTGAAACAATGCTGCCATCAGGAAGAGGAAACCCTCTCATAGTGCTTCCAATAACAATGTGAATACTTGTGATTACGATACAATCCTCTTTAGTAAACGTTTAACGGTGGAGGCTGCTCATTAGTGTGGTTAAATAAGTACACACATTTCTAAGTGCTCTTTTTAGTGTCCTTTAAAGGAGACCCTGCCACCTCCTGGGCA